GTCTGGGAATGGGATTGATGACTTGTTCTCGAAAGATGTAGTATACATACTCTTTTAGGATCTGTTGTTTTTAAAAAATTTTGTAAACGTAACATTAAAATTACTACTTTATATATTTGTATTAAATTTTGCACATTAAATACATAACTAACATCTAAGTGTTTTAATTTTGTTTGTGTTCACTTATGTGTGCATACATTTCCAAACACATTTCACATAAAACATACCCTTAGGGCTTAGTTTTTCAGTTGTTGTTGTTGTAGCGGCTACAACATTTTTCAGTGCACTGCTAGGGTTTAAATGCTCGAGCTGGCTGGTTTAAACTAAGATTAGCCAATCAAATGTCAGCTAGCTGTTCAACTTAAACGCAGTTTACGTGATCTAACTTTAAACTGGCCCTGAAAAACTCGCCTTAAAGATTGTCCTTAAATAAGTGTACAATTTTTATTTATGTACATAAGTACTTCTAAAAGAGATTTTGTGAGTGCACACATACGGCGTAAAAATTTACAAGATTACACTGCGGCTATAATCACAGACTCGCATTCAATTAAATTTAAATCTGGATTGCTGCCGTTCATTTGAGTGTTGACTTTTGAAACTTAGCACTAAAATCTATTTGGCCTTTAAGTATTTGCTATTTACAATTATAAATCTAATCACTAAAACATATATATATATATATATATATAAAAATTATATATATATGAATATACATATATAATTCACGAAGTTTTACAGATTCTAATTGTATAATTTTAAAAATTATAAAAGAAATAAAACGTTTTATGCTAACATCCCCGTCTCAAATATATTCGCTACTGCTGTATTGTGTCCCTCTGTGCGCTTTCGCAGAAACGGAATTATAAGTGGCTGGAGTTTGTTGGAGGTAAATGAGCTCCGGTGGCTAGCAATTCGGTCTATAAGTGCCGCCCAGAGCACGATCAGTAGCGACAATTGACGCACCCGACAAATTGACGTGCTGGTGTTGTTGTTGTTGTTGTTGTTGCACCTGCTGATGGTGTTGTTGTTGTTGGTGCGGATGTTGTGCGACATGTGGTGTGGCATTTATAAATATATTTGCAGCACCTGCACTAACATGTGGGTGCTGGTGCTGCTGCTGTTGTCCATGTTGTTGTTGGGCTTGTACCTGAGCAGCAGAAACGGTATGAGAGGTAGTGGCTGGAGCGTTAGCGGGAGTATTGAGCTGCAGCAGCTGCTGCGTTGCACTAGGCTGCATTTGCAGGCGGAGCAAATTCAATTGATTTGCGTTTATTGCAATCTAAAAAATATGGAAAATTTTGATATTAAAAGATTTAGCTCAGTTGTTGGATTTGGAGTACTTACGGGTACGTTTGTTATCTCGCCCGAGGGCGTCACAACCTGTTGTAAAAGTTGTATTTGTGGTTGCTGCTGCTGTTGTTGGTGTTGCGCCAAATTTTGCAGTAAAGCAGCTTGTTGCTGTTGTGCTGTATTTGCCGGCGCTGGAGTTGCAGTGAATTGTCCGTTCGGTCCAGCCGTCAGTATGAGTTGTTGCGGTTGCTAATGAAGAAAACAAAGTCCGGATTTATAAAAATACAATAAATATGATACACCTACAATTTTAATTTATTCTAAGAAATGTACTCACATGAGTGGTTATAAAATATTGCGGTTGTGCCGCTTGCTGTATAATCTGTAGTTGTTGATGTGGCGCTGCATTTTGCCCGTGTGCGGCATTCAGAGCTTCTGGAGTAGCAATATAATATTGCATCTGCTGCGGATGAGTAGCGGATGGCTGTTGTATGATTTGCAGTTGTTGCATTGTAGGGTGTGCTTGCTGGGAATGATGTTGTTGAGCTGCAGATGCTGCAAGTGTATCTGAGCTGATGGTGCCAAATGTCAATACTTCCCCATCGGCAGTTTCCATTTTTACAGGTAGAGTTACTGTGCCAGCCGTCATTACAGCAGCAGTTGCAGGCGTACTGGTTGAGGAGTTTACCGTAGCATGATGCTGTGACGCTTCTTTTCTTGTGCCACTACTAGCAGTAGGTTTTATATCTTCCCGAGGCACAATATCAATTAAAAAATCAAATTGGTCATAATTGGCAATGGCTTGAGCAATATCAGAGCGCTGGAGCGTGCGTCGTTTGCTTTCTTCGGTATGTATCCAAGCCCGCATTGTCAGCTCCTGTATAAAGTATTCACAGGCCTTGGCAAAGAGAAGAGGTGCTTCGGCTGCAATCATTTTTGCGTTTTCATCCAACTTCATTATTTTTTTTATACGCGCCAGTGGCAAAGCTTGATGTTTAGCGTCTACTTGATTAATACCCCTCACGTCGGCCATAATGTTCTGCCAGAAGTTATCGATGGTGGGAGGTGGCTTACGAGCTGTAGCTGGTCGTGGGCTTTTGGTAGATTGCTTCTGATTGGAATTGCTAGGCGCACTGCTGCTGCTTACTAACACATCACCTGATATGTTAAATGTTCCAGATGAAATGACTTGGCTCGCATTCACCGAATTATTGTTGGGGCCATGACGACTACCACTGGTGGTGGCAGTCACATTTACAGACCCGCCACTATTACTCGGCGCGGAAGAGTATGTGTGCGACATTTTTCCTGATAGAAGTCAATAGCCTGTGTGGTGTATTGCTAATATTTCGATAAATCCACACAATAAATTACAAATGGAGAAAAAATGAACCAAAAAATAATTCTGGCGTCAAACTAATCACTGTTGTGTTCCAATTTTGATAGGTTTCACAATTTCAATCTTCTTGGTTAAGTATGATTCACAATGAAATTTTAATTGTAATAGAATGCGGGGCTTGAAGAACGTAGGTACACCCCGTTAGTTTGAAAATGTTCCGTGACCAAAATCTATGAGACAACTCGATACTTTGAAAATGTGCCGCGACGATTTTGACCGTGTCTGAAACGTTTACAAGAGGAATTAGTCTCCGTTTTGACTCTGTCCGAAGCAAAATTTTTTATTTTCGTCTCGAATGCGGAAAACACTAACAAAACATAAGAAAGCGGCAAAGGTGAATTTCGGTGAATATTTTGCACAAATGACATTTCATTCATAAATTAAAACTTCGCAACTTCCTACTACATAGCGCATGCATTTAATTTCCTTACATTTGTTTAAAATTACAGAAGAAAAAAAATCTACGCAAATGCGCATGTTAAATGCCGACGGCAAATAAACAAAAAGAGTCGGTATTTCATTTCTTTGTTTCTATCATCGATCACTCCTTCTTCAACGTTCTTTGTCGCGGCAAAATCAAATTTGCTGCGAATTCCTTTCCGAAACTTGATGTCAAAACGGACGCGAATTCCTCTTGCAAACCTTCTAGACTCACTCGCCACACTTCAGCGAGTTGTCTCTTCTTATAGATATACGTTCTTTGGCGGTAAATTTCTAAAGTAACGAGTTGTCTCTTATAGATTTACGTTCTTTGGTACAAGTCTGGCAAGGAGCCTTGTGCATTATTGTGAATGGAAGATAATCTGTCAGAGAACGTAGAGCTCTCTTACGTTCCGTGACTTCTCTGTGGAATATCTGTTATCAATATTCCATTTCACCCTGTAACAACCGGCACTTTATTTGATGTATTGTGTTTATCGTAGTGTTTACCACTAAAATCCTTTTAAATCTGAAGGAAGCTCAGTTTATTTTTTCTGTTAAATATGGAGAGCCATTTCTGGAAAATATTTACAATTTCGAGTGCTGTCAAATTTATGCTTGCCGCGTCGCCGTAAGTCTGAAATTTTGCAACTTATCGAGAGAATTAAAACTGACGTGTCATATAGACATTCCACAGATTTTGAGGTGCATCGCAACTGGCTCGCAATAACACATTCTCTGCCAATGAAGGATTGGTATTATGACGAAACCAGTGAATGGACACTTGATTATCCACCATTCTTTGCGTATTTTGAATGGCTCCTCTCTCAGGTGGCGCACTATGTTGATCCGCAAATGCTGGTTGTTAAAAACCTTAATTATGCATCTACTGCAACAATATACTTTCAAAGATGTTCGGTAATAGTTACGGACTTGTTATATTCATATGGTGCATGGCGATGTCTTCGCGCGTTAAACATTCCCAAAAGGTCACAAAGGCATTTTGCAGGAGAAGTGTTGCTTTTGTTCAATGTTGGATTGCTTTTTGTAGATCACATTCATTTCCAGTACAATGGTTTCTTATTCGGTTTACTGTTCCTAAGTATTAGCTTATTGCTGGAGGAGCGCTACTTGCTTTCAGCATTCACTTTTGCGGTTTTGCTAAATTTCAAACATATTTTTTTATATATGGCACCTGCCTTTGCGTTTTATCTATTGAAGTTTTATTGCCTAGATGTTGGACGCAATCCATTCATATCTATAGCCAAATTAGGAGTTGTTGGATTGACACCCTTCGTAGCTTCATTTGGACCCTTTTATGATGATTTGCCACAGGTAAGGACTAATTTTCTAAAAAAAATCATATTTTTGTATTTCTTTCCCAGGTTGTAACTCGCCTTTTTCCTTTTAAACGGGGGTTGACGCATGCTTACTGGGCACCTAATTTCTGGGCACTTTACAATACTGCTGATAAAGTTGCCGCGAGATTGCTACATATTAAAAATCCATCAGGATCAACAACTACCTCCGGATTGGTGCAAGAATTCGAGCCAATCGTCTTGCCGAATATCACACCACGCACAACTTTTGTGTTAACGGTGTTATTCATGTTACCAGTTTTAATAAAACTATTTTGTTTTACAACGAAAAGGTAACTACATATTTTAATTTGACTAAAAAAATGTATATCGTATCAAAACGATTTTATTTTGAAGCACGTCGAAAATTAATTTTCTGCGCGCAGTTGTTCTCTGTTCTTGTGCTTCTTTCATGTTTGGTTGGCATGTTCACGAAAAAGCGATACTTATGTGCCTTTTGCCTTTGAGGTAAGTATTTTGAATATGAGTGTGCCATGTGCTATAATTTCTTCGCTTCTATTTCCAGTTTGCTCTGTTTGCTTCACCCTGCGGATGCCAAATATGCTTTCTGGCTTGGTGTAGTTGGATATTTTTCCCTCTTTCCTTTACTATTTCAATCAAACTTACTGTTGCTGCGCTACTCATTGTATCTGGGTTATATCGCGTTCATGTACGGTCAGTTGGTGCGTCTACACCCGAACTCACCTGATTTGAAAATGTACCTTATAGAAGATATTTACATATTTGGTTTCTTATTGCTGCCCGTCTACGAGCATTTGCTTAGCCCTATTTTGGGTCTACAAGAGAAACTTCCATTCATGCCGCTATTGCTGACCTCGCTCTATTGCAGCGTAGGCGTAATTTCATTTTTTATTTCATATTATTTACATATGCTAGATCTAAGTCACAGAATATTTTTAAGATCTACCTCCGATTTACTAGCAAAATCAAAATTGAATGAGAAACTTAAGGATAAAGTGAAGTCCAAAGCGAAGTCAAAGCCGAAGGTGCAATAAACATAACTGTTGTATTTTGATTCCGTAGTGGTTTTTTCGTTGAAGCAGCACAGCCCAGCCAAGCACTTGAAGTGCGCCTGGGATAGCCGCGTACGGGCCGAATATTAACGTTGTCATACAACCAGTAAACATTATTTTTAAAGAAATACGTTTTGCCATTATTCAACGTCGCTGTTGCATCCACATTGTTGGGAATGCCGTGCCATCGACGCATCGACTTTGGATAGCCCTCGTCCAGTATTAGCAAACGGTCATTATATCGCCAAAACTTGTCACCGGAAAATATATACGTCAAATTATTTTTAGCTGAAATGAAAACATCTTATTAATAAGTTTGTTATCCTGTGTGCTGCAGTCAAGAACATACGCCACAGCATAGCTGCATCAATGTTGGAAACGTTGCCAATCAAGTTAGCTATCGGCAGGGGGCTATTTTCGATCGGAACAGGAAGCGTGCTTTGCTCGTAGCGGAACAACCAATATTTATCACCTATTAGAAAGGTAAGATTAGTATGTTGCTGGCAAAAATGTAAAATGTAAAAAAATACCTGCGAAAAATACTCCAACTCCGTCGTAACGTTGATAAGCAGCATCGATACGTTTAACGTATGTCGGCATAAATGGAAACATTTCGTATAAATTCTGTGGATAACTAATTAAAAAAGCTTTATTACTAAAAAAATGAGAAGTTTTTGCTCAAAATACCCGTTTTTTATTGCATAACGCGATGTGAGCTGGTATACATATTCATTTTTGAAAACATGAACCGTTCCGTTTAAAACGCTGGCCGCATCAAAATTGCCCAGGCATATATTTGGTTTCTTTGAAAGTCCTGGTTGAGGTGTGTTTGCCACTGTCGTGCGTAACGTCGTACGACTCGTCGCGGGTTCCGCAGGTTGTGTGGTTGCAAAAACGTGATCCTGTGCGGATACATACATACGTATACCTTATTTCTAATTATTCAAACATATACATATCTGTGTTCGTATGGAAAAGTAGCTTATGTCGAAAGGCTGGCTTTAGTATAATGCGGCATTCCCTTTATTCCTTAAACGACAAGGAATTTTTT